TAGGTTATAAACAGCGAATAAATAAATTAAACTAAGGAATTAAATTATCAATAATAAATGAAATTGGGTTTACTGAATTATGGAAAAATCCTAGGGTAGAGAATTCACCACTAACCACATAATTAGGGTTTCCAATTGAAATTAATTATGCTATGGTTTGAACAGATTAATGCTTCACAACTACAAGCTCAAAGCATTTAACAAAAAGATCATCACATTCAATGTATGAGCACGAACCATCTCAAGTAATACGAATTGTTCACTCTAAACTAGGGTAGTGATACGACTCGTTCCTCGTAGCATGGCTCGTCCCATACCTTGAATTTGAAGGAATAGAAAACTCATGTATGGATAATATTCAACAATCACAGAAAGTCAAATATTTGAAAAGATAATGAAAATTATATATAAAGAATTTCTAAAACACCATACAATGGTTCAAACCTTTACATAATATAAAATCAAAAAAGAAAACTACATAATTACATGGCTAGGGTTTCATCAAAACACTAGAAAAGGAGACTAGTCACTCATGGAGGAGTGGAAGGAGGTAGAAGGAGAATGAACCACCATGGGAGACATCTTAGAGCTTTTGTTTATCTTCCTTTCCAAACCCTAGCCTCTCCCTTTAGGTCAAAAAAACTTCCGAACCCTAATCCAGCCTTTTACTTGCCCTTTTATACTTCCAATCTCGTCCAAACAGGTTTAAAACGTCGGTTTGACTTTCCCAGAAAAAGTCAACGCACGTGCAGAAAAGTTAACGCACGTGCAGAAAAAGTCAACGCACGTGCGGGAAAGTCAACTCTGCCCAAATTCTGTCTTTTTGCTCAGTTTATGCTCCGACGATGTACAACCTGATTGACACTCAACACACATAAAATATACAGTTTGACCAACAAGTGAAGTTAAGAGATTCTAATTAACGGCCTCAATGACGTACATTTCGGCCTTAATCACCAATCAAATTCAGTCAGACCCAATATGTTTTTAACCTTTATTCTCAATTTTTTCCTTTAAAAAATGATAATATATCTTCTAAAGATGTTTAAGATTAAAGTAATTTACACTATGAATTATCTATTACTATTTTATTAAATTAAATTAGTTGAATATTATATGGGTGAGGTTAGTTATATTTTTTAGGGCAAATTACATATATCCCCCTTGAGGTTTAGAAAAATTACAGATACTCCCTGAGGTTTGAGAAATTACAGATACCCCCTGAAAGCTATATTTTCATAACAAATTAGGGGGCAATTTGTTATGAAAACATAAATCTCATGGGGATATCTATAATTTTCGAAACCTCAGGGGGCTATCTGTAATTTAGCTAAACCTCGAGGGAGGTATATGTAATTTGCCCTATTTTTTATAATGTTTTAGGCTTTAAATAAAATATCTTGAATAATTTTTTCTTATTATTTGGTCGTCGTTACTCGGAAAAGTATGTATGCTTATTATCCAGATATCAATATTGTTAAATTATTGTTACTTTGAAAATTGAGGGTTTATTTTTATTTACTGTCTTTATTAAGAATGGTTGATAAGAAATATCTAAAAAAGAGAAGGTAAGATGGTGATCTTACATAGGAAATTTTGGTAATTTCTTACTTATTAAACTATGTGATTATCATTCAAAACAACATTTTCGTTGATTTAAGTTTAAATGTTTCATATTCATAAGATATATTTAACATTCAAGTGTATAGTTATATTTTCTAAGTAATTTAGAAAAAGTGATTGAACCTTTACGATTCAATTCGCGATTCGGTATGAGGCCATTTTGATTTACAATTCGAATCCGATTTAACAATTATGCTTATATTTCTGTAGGAGAGGGTTCGAGAAAAGAGTTGGAAAATTCGAAGATCTTCGAAGATCCTTGAAGAACAATTTCGAATTCTCTAGAATATGATGAGAGGCTTAGATTCTTCAATAATCTCAACTTAGGAACACGACAACAAAGGAGATGATGGAGATAAGAGATTGGCAATTATGCTTATATTTCATTCACTTTTCCATTTACTTTTCCTTTCCATTTACAAATCCTCACTCAAATCCTTGATCCAAACACAACCTAAACAAAAAAAAAATGTAACCTGTCGCTGTTTCAATGTTTGATTAAAAAAGTTACAGTAAAAATAAAATAAAATTTGCTGTGTGCTTAAAGCAAGTTGTTGTAACATGTTTGGTGTCTTTTCTTTGATGCCAAAACTTTCCACATTCTGCTTGCAGTTTTTCCTCACGATGGCTGCCATTTTAATGGCTGGGTCAGTTTTGTTTGAAATATTATTTAAGGAGTGTTCTTGTGTTTGTTATGTTTTTTCAGCTTATATCTAATGACAGATTCAAAAGTGTTGAGCATAGAGCTTTGGCGAACCATGTGGGGCCAAGAGTGTCTGTAGCATGCTTTTTCACCCCACACCTTTACCCATCAACAAGGATGTATGGTCCAGTCAAGGACTTGTTGTCAGAACATAATCCGCCTGTATATCGAGAAACAATGGTGAAAGACTTCATTGCATACTATGATTCTAAAGGGCTTGATGGGAACTCTGCTCTTACATATTTCAAGTTGTGAGGGTCCCAGGCCATTTCGAGGTTTAGATTAGAATTAAATATGCTTTTTGGATATATAGTAATTTATTTTACGCAACATTGGGTGTTCTTAGAGGATGCCCACTTCGGAATTCGTCCTCCTAAGATTTATACATCTTTTTTCTCATTACTTCTAGTAAACCTTGTTTTTACTATATGTTGAGTTACATTTGAATGTCTTGTTCAAATTTGATATTCTAATCAATAGCATGTAAAGCACAATTGTTCGGCTTTTGTATTTTATGTGAAGAACGATAGATTGGCAAACACATTTGAAATTCTATATCACCTCAGTGGAATAATTTGATGTTCATGAACCTTCGAATGTGCCACAACAGAAATGTGGTACACTTTGGATGGGTTAATGTAGTGCTTTCAGTATCTGCTCTGTTTCATCTCTGGATATACTATTCAATTTACTGATATTTCGCTTGTATCCTTTTCAGACCTTCTTATCTCGTGAATTGTGATCAGTGTGATGAATTGTTGTAGTGATCTTAATATTTTTATCATTGTGATTGAGAAGTAGTGACAGAGATATGAATATAACTAGCTAATTATTTTTTTTGTGGTAATTGTTGGGCTTGTTGACTGTTACTTTCTAATTATTGTTGGATTTTAATTCTGTAGGTTAATGTAATTCTTTTCATATTTGTAAAAAATAAATAAATTAATTAAGTTCATGGGTATATGTTCTTTTAAATTGTTACCTCCAGTCTGTAATTTCCTGGTACGTATAATAATTATCATTATCTTTTCTTTTTGGTACTTTATATGAAAAATGGAATTTTATAAGAACCATATGCGAATTTTGTACGATTTGGATGACAATCTGTAATTTTTTATTCAAATTTGGAACTTTAGAGATGAATTTGACAAGATCAAAAGTTGGACCAAAGTGATACATAACTATATTTATATTTTGTCTAATGTTAATAAATCCAAGATTAATTGGGCTTATGATTTTTAAAGTATACATTTTTTTGCACTTTAAAATTTTAACGCTGCATTTGGTTGGAAAATTTGGAAAAGGGTTTGAAGACGGAAAGAGAAAAGGTAAGTAAAATATAAATAAAATATATTTATATTTTATTTAGATTTACACATTTTTTCCTTTTTCTTTTTCAAATTTATTTTCAAATCTCTCAATCAAATATCGCATAAATCTTTTAATTTTATCAATTAAATTCCCAAACTACAATGTGTGTTTAAATACTTCTCAAAGCTCACGTCCTCTAAATTGAGTAAGGAAACCTTAGGTATTTTCCAACTTTACAACAAAAACATAAATGTAAATAAACTTAAAAAATTGAGAATCAAAATGCAACAAAATAAAAATGTACTTTGGAGACAAAATCCAATAAATATATTTTAGAAATCATATGTTTATTTGATCTTTCATATTTTGTTTAAGTTTCATATAAAATTTCGTAAATATCTTAATTCTCGTTAATCAAATTGAATGACATGATCACATCAATTGTGTAACCAAATAAAACATCAATAATTGTTTAGTGACATACATTGAATTTTGAAAATAATACATTTTGGTAGTATCAATAATAAGTAGGCTGAATTACATTAAGGTGGTGTTTGTTTTGAGGGATTGAGACATGTGATTGGACTAATAGTTCCTCTAGACTAATAGTCCATTGTTTGGTTCAAAATTGTTGCTCCGAACTATTAGTCTCTGCGGACTATTAGTCCCAAATATGTTGGACTACTGTGTCCGATGGGGGGACATAAATAGAGAGATAAGGGAGATATGAGATTACGTGATGAAATAACAATTTTGACCCTCTACTATTTAATTATGTATTATATTTAGAAAAATTTAATAAAATTTAAATATCTCAATTTGAAAATAAAATAATTTTATTTAAGTTTTATTGATGTTTTATTTATATTTTATTTTAAAATTTTGTTTCTATTTTATTTAATTTCATTATTTAAATTTTAATAGATGTTTTATTTAATTTCATTATTTAATTATTATTATTTTTTTAAATAAATTTATTTAAAATTTTAATTAAAAAATAACATATATTTTTATTGATATTTAATTTTTTAAAAATAAATTTATTTAATTGTGCAAAAAATAAAATAAAATAAATTTTTATTTAATCTAGCTAAAAATATTTAAAATATTAAAGATATGTTTAATATTGCTATTATTTAGTAAATAATTGACAATGATAAAATAGTTATTTGCACATTTATCATTCTCCATAATATCCCAAATAAACATAGGATTCAATGGAATAGTTCAATCCAGACATCTAATTCCATGACTAAATAAATATAGAATACAAATCTAGTCCAACCAAATAATTCGAGGACAATGTATCCCGGACTAACAATCTGATGGATTTCAATCCCCCCTTAACTAGTTCGTCCAAACAAACACACCCTAATGGCCTTTTGTAATTTGGGTTTGTGTTATTTTAGTCCATGACCTTTTAATTGTGATACATTTGACCTTGAATTTTGAACTTTGTTTCAAATAAGAACAATTAAAGATATTGTTGTTTCATTTCAAGGGTAAAGTCATCAATTTGATAAAATATAAACTAGTTTGAAAAAATAATTTTCAAAAAATTACTTTTAAATTTTTAAAAATTATTTCTACTCACCAAAAATAAAATTATATAAAAATGATAAATATTTTATATTTTTATATTTTTATTTTTTTACCAAATTATTTTTTAGTATGTGTTTGAATGATGATCAAGTAATGGGTGGTTGTTTTTATTGATATTTTTGAACGGTTATCATGTAATAGTGTTGGCTTTTTTGGCTTTTGAAAGTTAATAATGTAATTTTAAGCGTGCCAGCAAGGATCAATCAGTCCTTACAGAATATTAATTGCTAACCAATTATCAGACGATTGAGTTTTAGTTCTTTCAACCTCAATGAAGATGACTTTTACCGGTGGCTTGTTTTAGGAGAATTTAGTAAATAACAACAAGTGAAGAATAATTTCAGAATCTGAATTTTATTAAGTAAAATGAAAAACTTACAATGATCTGACCTAGCCTCATAAAGGTTTACAACAACAAGCTATTTGAAACTACTCCTAGGAATGAAGTGCAGTACAAGAATTGAAGTGCAGAAATGTAAATAACTATAAAAACTAGAAGGAAAAACGAAGTAAATAAACTGATTTTTTGATCTGAGTCTGGATCCTTCATTCTGGGGCCTTTTTTTGCTATTTATACTTTCCAATGATAATCATCGAAATGGGCTTTCAACCGTCGAGATGTCCTCCCATGATTGCTGAACATACTCTCTCACAGTCAGTCCTACTATGCCACTATAGCAGTTAGGCTTCCCTCCTAATTTTGAATTTAAACTTTGTGAGTAACCATTAAACTACATCACCTTGTATCCCTCGATTGTTCTAGTGCTACGCAGATCCATTATTAGCAATACGAGCTGACATGTGTCTGACTTTGGTTGGCAACTTGTATTAATTCCCTAAATTGCCCCCTTCATGTCACGTGTTGAATTGTGATTGGCTTTTACAAATTATATAGCCAACATTATCCCCCGCACTAATATATCCAATACTTGGTGATATTAGTGGATCAAGGCATTTTACCCACGTCCTAGGACGTGCATGGGTTTTGCATCTTCTTAGAAATGCAACCGACGTCCATCATTGCAGTGTTTGTACTGCATTAAATTCTCTTTTATGCCTCGAACATTTCCCACTATCTGAGCATTTGAAAAGGATGATACAGTTCTCATGGCCAAGCAAACCTTTTCTTACATAGATCAAGCATACGAAAAGTTATTAGACAATGATGTTCGTCTTGGAAAGAACTTTCATACATTTATTAGCCACACCTATCCACCTCAATTTATTCAAGTCATGGAAGCTTTTGCAAATCATTGACCTTTGGATCAAGAACCTATTGTTCACAATTCTTTAGACCAAGACTTTGCAACAATGGATATTGGAAGCTCTTCTTCTGCTACAAAACCTTCTGCGTGGGATGAGGCTGCTGCTTCCTATTTTTCTTCTAAAGCTTCTAGTTGGGTAGTTTGGCCTACTCCTACTCAACCTCAGATGAGGGAGCACATCCATCATCGATTTCATGAATTCGATAACCCTCTTGTAGTCCATCCTTCTAAGCGCAACTTTGTAGTGTACCCATATGTGCCTTTCAACCGTCTACGCAGCCTTGAGGACAACTTAATTTCAGTATGGTACACTTCTACTTTGTCGTCTCGAATGGTACGAAGGGCTCCACATCCTGATGAAGCCTTAGGAATAAAGCCTGCACTCTAAGCCAAAAAAGCAAGACTTTGCTCCTTTGATTGGCTTGAGTGTGTGAACAAACCTGAATTCCCATCTTTATTCAGAGAGGCTCCCATTGCTCCTTTGCTGCCCTTCAACCCAAATTGGATTGAGGAATTGAGGCTCACCCTCTTCGAGAGTAAACACTTTGCTCCTTATCAAGCTCCAGTTCCTCCAACTACTTACTAGCAATATAAGGCTTAGACCCTGCTTGCTGTTTTTCCCATTTGTCCTTCGAAGTCCTGCAAGATGATATTCCTCACAAGAACCTATTATGGGCTTGTGACATTATTTCTCGTAGCCATCTTCTCAACCTTGTAGCCCATGTAGAGCTCTATGCTTTCCTGGACCAACTTCTTCTCCTACTCAATTGGCACATCAATGCTTCTATTACCAATGAAGTATTTAATGAAACCGTTTCTGCTCGAATCCAAATTCAATATAAGGTAGAAAATCTCCTCGAAGAATATAAGATCTTCAAAAACCCAGACTTAGAGTATGGAGAAGATGCCATTATGGGCGAAGCACATGAGGAAGATGAGATGGATGAGACAGAGAAGGCTCTTAAGAAAATAGAATTTGAAATGAAAGCCCAACAACCCTTCTTCCAACTAAGGGCTTATCGATTAGATAAACTAAATTTGGATAAGATAGAAGATAGATTAATAAAAGAGTATTGTTTATTGAGTTTTACT